TGTTCTGGATTTTCTCCAAAGTGTTCAGAAAACAAGATGGTTTTCTGGAAAATTCTTCATTTCCCTTGTGTTGAGCCCTGTCTTTGTCTTAGGCTGCTCCAGCTCTTTAAACCAGGTCGCTTAGGGTCGCCCCACAGCCTGCCCGCCTGTCCCCTGTTACATCCTGATGCCACGTCTATCTGTGTCTCGCTGTGTGTCTCTGCGAGTTTATGCTTTCACCATCTTTACATCCTCTTTTATTTTGAAGGTTCGTTTCAAATGTGGCAAACTGCTGCCTTTTTTCCTTTCCTTGCCCTACTTACCTTGGTTGAGTTCGCTCTCACCGGTGTTTGGGTTTAGTTTGGGTTTTTCTTCCTCGATCTTCCTCGCGCTGTCTGTTGTTGTTTACTCTGTCTTTTCGTATTTGGGTTCCTTTGATGGTTTTCCTGCCACCTCAGTGGAGTGTTGACACTAAACCTGAGTGTTCAGCCTGAAGGAATTTACTGCAGCCTCACAGCAGTGACATTGAGAGAGAGAATAAAACTGCCATATTTTGATGTATGAATCACAATGTGGATATTTTCTCATGGCGAATGACTTTTTGTTCATTGACTGTGTTTCCTAACGTTTAGTCTGCCTCTAACTGCTCTGATAGGCGAGGTCAGATACAACCAATGGCATAATAACCAATCAAAGCTGAGCTTCCCTCCAGCTAATCAAATCTGGTAAAACCCTGCTTTGCTAGATTTGGACTTTTTAACCACCACATTTTACACACAGAATGACTCGTCTTCAAACGAGTGTCACATTATAACATCAGGTTATCTTCATACTTAGCTGCTATTTGCTGACAGCTGCTCTCTGCACAGTGCCAGAAGTTTGCTTCAAAAAAAGAGAAATCTTACAGCTGAAGAGCCTCTCCAACATAATTAGCACTCAGCTGACTATGGGCGCTTCAGCAGCGCTGACAGTATTGAGAATAAAATCACATACCTGAAATGGCTGCTGGCCCTCTAATCGAACTCTAATGCTTTCTTAAGTGCTGTGACTGTAATCTGTGGAGTGGACTCTGAGGATTGGACTCCAACAGTTCGGCTGCCACTTTCATGGCTTTGTCAATACATCCCCTGAGTTTCTGTCTGGGGGGGGGCTACTGTGATGAAGCCAATTTTAACCGAGACCTCGAGTCCTCCTGCAGCAGCAGAATTAGCAATGATGGATCACTTCTGGACTTTGACCTCAATAAAAAATGAAAATATTAACTGATAAATAATAAATAACAGTTCTTTTGTGTTTGTCGCTCTAAACGTTAGACTAGTGCATCTTCTAATAAATGTAGGTCCTGCTGTAGCAGCCCTTTGTTTAGAGGGTATTTTCTACAAATCTATTTACACGTTCAGTTAATGACCAAAGCTGCAGAGCGAGTTCTTGAAATTTCCTCGGGGATCTTGGACAACAGTTAGCCCTGGTTTGCCCTGATAATCGCTGCGTGCTACAGGGGAAGCTGCGATGCCAGTCTCTCCCACAAGGGCTCGGATAATAAGTCGTGTCCCTCGCCAGCAGGATTGCATTTCATAACCCGATCAAATTAGACGCCGATTGGATGCCAAGGAATTAGCTCAGCCTTGAATATGAGACTGCCTGGTCAATATGCATAGATGACAAGAGACGAGAAGTGTATGTAAGAGAAACCAGAGGAGTGTAAAGGAAGGATGCTGGAGTTCAGAGGAAGCGGGAGGAAAATGAAGGCAAGTGCAGATTGTAGTTCCTCACAACAAGGCGGGTGAGGAAGGCACAAAGTGAACCCATCAACAGAATATTTCCTTCTCTGTCTATTCCTCTCTCCTCCTCTGGACATCTTCCCCTCGGGGTAAAGAGAAGCCTAATCAGCCCCTGGCATTAGATCGATGCTAGCGTCCTCCCCAGCTGTGGCTAATGGAGCACATACTCACTCATTATCTGCAAAAGACAACATTTTCTGGCTTCACACACATCCTGGCTTGAGTTGTTAATTTCTGTGAGTCAAACTAGAAATAACAATGGGAGAAACAGCAGCTAATAACTTGGGCTCCCATCCAGGCCCGCACGAGGCTATTACAGGCTATTTACACTCATTATTTGAGGGATCTATGAATGCAGCAATGAGTGCCACTTTGTTTTTACTGTGCACATTTGTGGCGACACAGCCACCGCTGCTGCCGCAGCATTAACGTGAAGGCTTTTCTGTGTGGTGGCCTCATAAAAATCTGGAGGGAAATGGACCGACTGTGATTCACTGAAGCAAACAGCAGACTGCACCACTGCAGCTCTGAATGCTGCTTTTTTAACCAAAAACTAGTGGGAAAAATGACAGGAGTGTTCTCTTTTCAGATAACAGGGACTAAAAGGAGGGCCGCGTGAAGAATATTTAGAAGGGCGTGGACTCCTTTCAGTGGTTTTTTACAAAATTTAGGGAAATAAGATGGAGAGAGGGGGCTCTGAATCCTACAAATTAGGTTACATTCTCTAGTTAAGTACCAGTGAAAACAGTAGCTTAAACACAAACACCCACGAAGGTTATTTACACTGTTAAAGATGTTCAGTTGCAGTGAATGATCGATATGCTTCAGTATAAAGACAATAACTGGAACAGACTTTAACGGTGGTGAGCTGCTTGAAATGCTTTGAACAACCTACAGTTTCAGTTTTATTTCTATAGCACATTTAAAAGACCAAGGTTGTAATCCTGCAATGCGGCACTCGTGTGACACGAGTGCCGCATTGCAGGATTACAACAATAGAAGAACAAAGAAAATACAGAATAGTTACAGGTAAGAAGCGTGGACCGGGTAGAAGTTAAAATCAAATTTGTTTTGAAGGCTAGCTTAAACAGGTGGGTTTAAACATGATTTGAAGGATTGAATGGATTCCGACACACGGATATCAACCGGCAGGCTATTCCAAAGTTTATGTGCAGCAATCGCGTCCCGATGCCCCCTAGTCTTCCGTCGGGACACTGGTTGCACTAAGAGCCATTGATTGGAGGATCTAAATGCTCTCTTGAGGATATAAAGGTCAAGGAGGTCGATTAAGTAGCTGAGCGACAAGTTATTTAAAATTATAAGTGTACAAAAGGATTTTTAAAACGATACAGGATTTGTCGGGGAGCCAGTGAAGGTTGGCTAAGACAGGTGTGATATGATCATGTCTTCTGGTGCCGCTTAAAAGACGTGCTGCGGCATTTTGGACTGGTTGGAGGCGTTGGATGAGGGAAAGTTGGAGGCCTAGATAAAGAGAATTGCAATAGTCCAATCTCGAAGTAATGAGAGCATCAATGAGCTTTTCTAGGTCTTTATGTCGTATGTCGGGCTTTGCCTTGGAAATTTGGCGTAGTTGGCTACCTGATAAGAACCCTAAAAATCTGTCTAAGAATAACTTTGTCCACATCACACATACATCTGACCTTTTCTTCCTCTTTATTTCATTTTTTAGGTAATAAATAAAACACTGTCGCTTTTGCACAATAATCTAGTAGAAGATGATTTCATGTGTTATCTTTATTGGCTGGAAGTAGAAACAAAACGAGTCAAATTGAACTGGCTGTCATAACCAGAAGATTTTAAATAGTTTGTTTTTTGCATGATTCACTTGTTAGTAGCTATGTTCATATAACACTGATTACTATAACAGCATGGACTCATGCTTAGGGATGTAGAGTATACTGGGAACATGGTACAGACAATGCAAGCATCAAGAACGTAAAACACGTTCTCATCCCAACGAGCAACATACTAGAGGTGGGAATCACCATACATCCCACGATACGATATTATCACAATACTTAACGCACAATACGATATTATCGCAATTTTTAAAAATATTTTTGCGATATTCAGATTCTGTACATGAAGGTAAACTTTATCAATATTCATTTTATCTAATATCAAAGTCTCACACTCAGTCTTTCTCTCATTTCAGTCAGTTTTATTGTTGACAAACTGAACGGTTTGTATTACAGTCTAGTCCAACTTAACTGAATGCAACCATCTGGTACAATTATAGCTATTCTGAACTATGCAATATGAAAACTATGCAGCCCATTCAGCAACTGAAGAATTTGAAAGTAAATTAAAACAAAATATAATTTTACATTAAATAAAAAAGTTTTAAACTTAATTAAAATATAAAATGTCTTAAATTAAAATAAGTAAACTGTCATGTTTATTGCTGCCAAAAAAAAAAGTTAAACACATTTGGACAGTGAAGGAATGTCAGGATTCTTGCTCAGAAAAAGGATCAACATGCTCTGAAATCAGAGCACAAAAACCTTTTTTGTAACAAAATATCGATTTCTGCTGTCCCTGTATCGATACATTATTAGCAAACAAAATATCACGATGCTACACAGTATCGATTTTTTCCCCACCCCTACAACATACTGATGAATCGTCTGTGTTACGCGTTTTGAGGCTTGAAAGCCGGTTGGGATGAATCTATACATGTAAATGTGTTTTATGTTCTGATCCTGAATCACTGTGGAAAACGTGACAGGGTTATGGTTACGGTGAGGACTGGAGTGGAGTGGACGGCTGGAGCCAGAGTGTTTCATAAGGACCTGGAAAGGTACGTTTAGCGTTACTACAGGTTACAGCAGTCAAACCAGTCGTGTATGAAATGAGATTGTACAACTTTGTTGCAGGGAACAGGACATAAATTGATAACTTATTATGTAATATCTACCTGAGCGATGACATACATGTTTTATCTTTGCAGAAAATAACTGTAAATTAGAGTTATGACTTCCTGCGCTGGCTGCTGTGCTGCCGGGAGACGCACTGTTTCTCTTCTCACCGTTTCTATTCTATATGCATGCAAACGCCTTTGAACAGAAGAGCGAGATGCAAAGAAAATGCTCGCTCTGGGGGATATTTACCATGTTTACTGATGCTTACAGTCGTAACGATGATCAATGACATTACCGCTGCATCAAACTTCCGCCCCCGCAGCATCTCATGAAGCTATCAATCAGGTAGAAGCCTTACCTTCACATTTCTCCAGGATCTGAACAGTCTCCCCCACCTCCAGAGCCAAACCCTGAGTCACTGAGCCTCGGAAGTTGCAGATGACTGTGGAGAGAATGAGAGAGATGGGAAAAGATGAGATCCTAGGAAGACAGAGAAAATGATAACAGCTGCAGACGCTCTGACATTTGTCGAACATGCACGCAATACAAGAAAAAGGTTACGGCATGAAAGATCGGCGTCTGAACTTTTGGACGGCAACAGCTTATTTTCATCACTGATCAAAGGATGTTATCAAAGCACATAAATACAAAGTAATGCCCTCGTCTGCTTTCATCACTGCGTGTCTGTCCCATGACAACAGGGTGACGTTAGACATTAGAGCTTGACTGAGCACATCCAGACCGTGCTGTACCAGGCACTGTTGATGTTCATATTCCTCATGACTGCTCCAGTACACCCAGTAAACAACGGGCCTCACAGCTCATCCTGCTGATGCAGTCAGTGCAAGCGGCTCTGTTACAGGACTGCAATGTTAAATTGATCATCAGGAAATCTAACCGTGCAGGTTAAAGTCTCACTGGTGTCTTAATCATGAGTAAACTGGCTAAGAGGGCAGCGGACATTATTATGAATATAACTATTGTTAAGGCACAAATGCAGCTGTAATGCTAAAAGATGCGAGCACAGTCTCCAGGTCACGAGGTAAAAATGGGTACAGTTCAAATCAATTTCAATGCATCTCTAAGAGCGATAGCGTCGACCACGAGGCGACTCAATACTGTCCTCTCGTCTGTGTAGGTGTTCAGACAGGAGGCCACAGGTGTGTCTGAACGCAGAACAAGACGAGATCTTAAAACTGTCTTTGTCTGTTTAACTGTCTGCTTTGATAAAGGCTCTTTGTTTTTAAAGACTGTACATCTTTCCCATTGAGTCTGTGGTGAACTGACCTTGAAGACAAAGACAGCTTTAAGACCAAGTCGTGCTCACGCTGGACAATCATGCTTTCTGTCACCAATCCCACTCTTAGTCTCCAAATTTAGTCCCTGGGTGTTTACGCAACGTGTCATCTGTGCATGCCGTTTGCAGGTCTCGCTGTCAGTGCTGTTTTCCTCTGCAGGGCTCAGGCGTCGCACTTAGCTGCACATGTCATTTTGTTCCTGATGTTGTTAAATTAGGACTTTTTAAGAAAAAGAATCACAAGATATCAAAATGATGGAAAGCATGAAAAAGCTGTCAAAAGCTGCAGATATGGTAATAATGTTGCCAACTTATTCATGTCACAGCAGGGTTGAGAGCTGTTGCCGCCTCGGAGCAAACACATAAAAAAAGACAGTGAAAACTGAATTTTTACACACAGCTGAATTAACACAGCGCCACATCTGAAATTCAAATTTCAGCAAATCTTTAAAAAGGTCTCAAGAAAACTAGATGCCACCTGTAAAAAGACGACGAGAGAGGAGTCCAAGGCATTAGTCATTTCTGCTAATGCCCACAAATCCTTTCACTTTGAAGTAACGCTGTTCTAGTCAAACCTGGGTGCAGGCAGGAGGTCGGTTTCTAATAATCACTGTTGTGTTTCCCAAAGACAACACAGTACCTTGTATTGTTGTTAGGTGGAGATATGGAAATTTTAAAGGCTTTTCTTCTTTGCCATACTTTTTTGTTTTTTTGTTTTGTTTTTTTTGCCTGTCCCGTTTGGCTCTTTTGCCATCAGAATTGTTGTCTAAAGGCAAAGAAAGATGCCCAACGGATTTACTTTACCAAATTGACCATCCCAGCCTTGCCATAATGGTCCATTTGATTCACCTTTTATTGTTTATTGTTCTTTGCCATACTTTGAGACAAACAGCTGATGAATCAGATGCTCGCAAAAAAGTTGCCACCACTCTGCAGCCTCACTCGTAGCGGCTCATGAACGAGCTCTCCGCCTGTCCTAGGTTCTGTGTGAGAGGCTCTCCAGCTAGCAGTGGACCAACAGGACAGACGGACGACTATTACCAGCTGCAGTTCAAAGATGACATTGGACGACATAACCATTTTAGAAGATTGTAATCTGAAGGAAATGCTTAAAAAATCAGCTACTGTGCACACAGCAAACTGTAGTTTGAGCTGCCGACTGCAGTCTGGTACTGTGGCAGCGAGGACACACAGCTCACACCGACGGGACTGTTGCATCTGTCTCTGCCTGGCTTTGTCTCTGTGTTGCTGTCACCATCTGTCTCCGTATCATCAGCGTCACTCTCGCTCTCTGCCGTCGCTGTCACTCTCTGTGTCACTGTAATGCTCTCTGTCTCCACTATTAGCAGCGATCAGTTGGGATTGTCACTGTTTTGGATTGTGTCACTGACAATCTCAACTCCCTCGAGCCCTTCATCCCCGTGTGTCTCTCTTTGTTGGCTGTGACTTTCAACGTCAGTCCATCATAGTCCCTGGCATCATCAGAGACCCTGTCATGCTCTCACGGTCTTGCCCTGACCAAGTGTAAAATGCAACCAACCACTGCTCAATTACCTTTTATGTCCCACAAACCTCTAGTTGTCATGTTCCAAGTAGAACTGGAGTTTGACTGTGTTAAAACAACAACAAGAAAAAACACTGAAGCACAGTGAAGAGCGCGCCAGGAGACGGAGCTGTAGCCCTCCGAGGCCGAAGCAGCGACCAGTGTTCGGTCTCTCTCGACACAGACGGCTGCCATTGTTCCCATGCTACACGCTCTCTTTGTAAATAGCTTGTTAGCTTTGATGGACCCTGTTCTTGACCTCATCTTCTCTGAACGCTGCTCGAGCGTGACTCCATCCTCCTCCTCCTCCCACCTGTTATCCAAACGTATGTAATCGTGATCAGAGGACTTTTGTTCTGGCTCACGACTGCAGATTATAAGAACTGGCTCACCAAAGAGAACAGCATGCGTCTCACTTACTGTAATGTACACAGGAGAGCTGTAACTCACAGATCATCACAGAAGTTTGAAATTAACATCAGTTAATCAGTCTGTCTCATTTCATTACCCTTTTAGTAAAGCATGCAAATTTAGTGCTGATTATAATAATTTAAGAAAGATGAAACTTTCTGGAAAGATGTTTAATAATCACTCATCTTATTTATTAGGATAAGACTCGGACGCAACACTGAAAATGTTTGCAAGCTGTTTGAAATGTAACTAAAAACATAGAATGGAATCATCTACAAATCTACACATTAAATGAGAAAATGTACAGGTTTAAGAAAAAAGGCTTATTTTGAGTTTGATGGCAGCAACATGTGTCAGAAACGTTAGACAGGCCTTCATCAACGTCTGGGACCCGAGCAGAGCAGCTGCCGGACTTTTGGGAGAAGAACGCTGTCCCATTCTAGCTGATAATAAGCCTGATGGTCGACGTCTTCTTTAGTGCTGAAGACGTCCGTGTTGTTGCCCCCATCGCAACTTTCTTGAGACATGTGGCAACCCTTAAATTTGAAATGAGCTCATATTTTTCATAGCATAGTAAAATGTCTCAATTTAAACGCGTGTTTTCAGCGTTTCTGTGTAGAGAAACTGTCAGTTTATGGGGTTTGCAAATCATTGCAGACCATAGTTATTTTTCAGTTTATATAGCGTCACAACATTTTCTGGGTGGAGCTTGTAGACAACATAAAACTTGGCAGGAAACACATGATGACCTCAGTTTACACTGCAAACAGTGGATTTCATGCACAATACATCTTGTATTCACAGAACTCTGCATAACCTGGAATCAGAAATAGAAATCTGATGGAAAAGACTGTGGATGGAAATTATGATGGATGAGACCCAGGGAGTCAGTATTAATGAAAGTGCTTCATATACACATTAAGTTTATTTTATCCAGTCAGACCGAAGGTTGATCTGGAACATCCAATAATCCCTGAAAGACTTTACTTTAAATATCCCTACTAATGAAAAATCAGATGGTCTTCAGTGGTTCCATGCATCTATTCTTTAGACACCACAGGGCGTGAACGTGTTAACCACTCGACCACGGCACCACTCAAACAGGAACAGCAATGTTTTCATTAAACAAACTTTATGTAAATTAAAAAATTCTGAAAAACAGTAAGTTAGGGACAAATATCCCCAAATAAAGGTGGAACTGAAACTCTTGGAGCTGCTGGTTCATCCTGTTGGTGAGACGTCCGTTTGGGTTTTTTCCTTTCTGTGCCTCTGGGGAAGCTGCCACAAAGCTAAGAGCTCTCCAGAGAAGACAAGAGGCAGAGCAGAGACGATGAGGAGAGGCACACACACCGAACACTCACGGGGATTAGCATTGCTCTATCTGGCTCGTATTGGCATTTAGATTATCCAGCGGATTGGGTCAATAGTCTGACAAATGACTCACATCTGTTAAGCCAGTCACACCACTTAGCCTGTGGCCTTTCCACGTCTGTGCGTGTTTGTGTATGAATGAGATTGTGAGGATGAAGGAAGTCCCAAAAAACAAATGATGGAAACAAAGCTGTGCGTGTGTTTGTGCACACGCCACTTCTCAGATGGTTTAGTGAACAGAATAATTCAATTTGGAGTGTGACTGCGGAAGCTCTGTTTCAATATTTAATTGCTGCTCAAGAATTCCACCAAAATCCAAACTGATCCAGACACATGACACAAATTTCACCGCTGAATAATTTAAAGAAGGAACTTTCTTCTCATCAGTGGAACAAAGGTTGTACATTTGAAGAAAACATATTTGGCACAAGCTTTTAAGTAAAGGACCTCAGAGCGCCGTGTGCCACACTGAAGATTCATGAGTAACTACAAAAAGAGTTCGAACAGGATAAAAGAAATCAACAAACTGCACTTCAGTGCTCGCGCTGGAAAATGCTGCAAACTTGTTCAAACGTATCTCCTATCATCTTTTATTAAGTGCAGCATCGTTGCGTGTTTTCAGATCCAAATGCAGAGAAAACACTTTGAAACACTTGAATTTCAACACCCACAAGTAGAAATATACAAGAAAGATTACATTTGTTTTTAAAAACTTGCACATATAGGACATGAGAGGGTTTTTTAGCAATTAAAGCTAATCCGTAGGGTCTCAATTAGGGGTATCTTCTCTTTGCCACCCCCTCTTTGAGATTTTAAAGCA